GGTAGGCGACTTCTATGATTTTATCGATAATTGAAGTTTAGAGTCACTAATGAATTTCTTAAGCCGAGTTTAATATCACAGAAATGACCGTCATGATGTATATATTATCAATTAATGATTTAAACAATCAGTACGCTATTTTTTTAATATATCATTGATCCGATAAAGAGAAATCACATAAAGAAAATGTTTAACTTATCACCTTGTAACAGTTTCTCTCCGGTTTATGCTAAAGGAAATGAAAATGAAAAGAAATTACATATATATTTGCAATATATGCTGCGGGATAAAAACAAGAAATGAGAAAAAGAGCGACGACATTGAAATTTTCAAATTCAAATACTACTCACATTTTTTCATAGGTTCAAACTTTCAAATTATAAAATTTTCACATTTGGTCTTGATGACTATATATTGAGTTTACCCATTTGAACAAAACATGAGTTCAACGATTCGGTTTCTCGTTGTTCGTCACCATCCTCTTTTGTTTGGTCTTTGGTGGTTAGACTCGAATACTCAACATTTTCACCGTAAATACCCTCAAGAACCAAATATAATGTCATGATAAAGATTACAAATAAAACAAACAAAAAACTGAACTCGATGTTGACAAGCGACTTAGCCCTATGTAGAGCCTCTTCGCTAGAACATCTAACCATTTGGTGATGTTTTTCTATATGGAAAAAACAATCTTTAGGGATCAAACTGGTTGTGAAAAGCATGAAACCAGTGACCATTAACCACGCTCCTTGTAAGGCTATGCTTGATGATCTCACAAAGCTCACAAAAAAACTATTGGGCATTGCAATACCCATTAGAGTGCTAAAAAGAGAGACAAAGATGACATACTGAAAGAGTAAATGGTAGTGTCCTTCCAAACTCGTGTTGTCGACAGAGTGCAGATGGAAGAGGAAAAATTGTTGCGCGAATGCAGCGGCTAAAGCAAGAAAGGTCAAGCCCTTAGCGGCTGAGGCTGCTCTAGGCCGTGCTCGATCGAAGATTATAGTGAAAACGGAAAAGACTATGAAAGACATAGACATGGAGGCATGTTCAAGGCTGCGGAGGTGGGTCGAAGCGATGGTACCATCGGGATCAAAGGGATGGTGACTTTTGGGTCCAATGAAGAGTTGTCGGACAATCAGGATTGATAAGGAGATAATGAGTGAGTAAGGCTCTAAATATCTTAGCTTGGAATATGGGAACCATGGTGATGAAGAAAATGTGTTTGGGTTAAGACAAAAGAGTTTTATGTTGTTGAATAGGTGCCATAAACCAACTAAAAAGAAACCTAAACCAGGTAAAACATGTCCCACAGGTGATTCCATGTTGTGGGTTTTGTTTCACCTTTTTGTAAATAGAGAGAGAGATTTGAGGAACTTTCACTATAAACAAGAACTATTAATGAATATGGGTTATAGAATTAATAAGAGTTCAAATGTTTACGAGGATCATTTCGAAAAAAGGTTTGTTAATTTGTTGTTGTTGATTGAATACTACTTCGTTAGAAACTTAGAATCTTTCTTATATCATATTGAATGAATTTATTTCGGACAGCGTTTCAGGTAACAGAAGTGAGCAACATGATTTACCAGACTTTATCAAATTATATGTCTATACCAAAAAGAAGTGACCAGCATGATTTATTACATCAAATTTAAATTTCCATGTCAACAAGATCACGAGACAATGGCAATTTTAAATGTTTTTTTTTCCTTCTTTTCTAAGGGCTTTGATCATTTCTCTTCAGATGCTGATACGATCATCATAAATTTATATAAAAATATACCATTTGGTGTAATTCAATTGACCTAAATACTATGAATCAATGAAGTATATTAACTATTAATATATACGTGAATAACCGGTTCAAATTCGCGTAAAGAAAACACCTACTCGATTTGAAATGTTTATCTATGATGTGAAATGTCTTTTGATTTGACGAAATAAATTACAACATTCTACAACTCACAAGTCAATGCTTCTAGACAAAATCTTCAAAAGTCAATATTACTTTTACAACAATTCCAGCATATTTTTGGGTTAGAT